CTATTCATATCTACTTTAAAATGAAATCACCCTAACATATGCCAGCGGGGTACCTGATGACCGGCAGGGCGTAAGTGTTAATTGCCTGGACTTTGTTCTTTCCATTCAGTTGACTTCTCAGGACTTGCCTTACTCTCTGCAGGTACTTAGTAGTTGCTGCTTTGTGGTTGGAGACAGTCATGTACGTACAGGGTGAAGAGTTTGGGGGCTGAGACAGCAGCCCTGCGGTGAGCTTGTGCTGATTGTGAGCTCAGTAGACACCCACCCTCCCATTCTCACCACCTATGGTCTTTCAGTCAGGAAAGACCTTTCTTTGGGGCCTCTTCATGGTTTTCCTGCGGGATCCCAAGTACTTGTAGCTGTCCTCAACATCTGCTATGTTGCTTTCTGGCAATATAATCCCCTCGGTTCTGACTACCTTCCCTCTCCTTGTTACCATTCAACCACACTTATCCAGGCTGAATGACATTTCAATGTCTTGGCTGTAGATCCTAGTGGTGCGGATCAGTGAGTCGATGTCTCATTCACTCCTGGCATACAGCTTGATGTCATCCATGTAGAGGAGGTGGCTGATGTTTGGTCCATTCTGTAGCCGGTATCCGTAATGATCCATGATCTGGCTGAGGGGGTTCAGCCCTATGCAGAACAGCAGCGGGGACAGAGACTTTCAGAAGGCACTTCACTTAGTCTTGGTAACCGGCCACGGGAGTCTTAGCATATATACTGTATATATCCACCAAACTGAACATCTGAAAATTCTCTGTGGGTTTCTGTCTGTAAGACACTAAGTTCAATCTGTATTAGTGAAGGTGACAGTTGTTGGACCCCCATTCTTTTCACCACATTAACTCTGAGAGACGAAGCAGTCCGTGTAACTTGAAAACAGTGCTGATTTATTCAATGATCACAGGTAAAATTAACATTACACGCTCAGGAGTCTTTGCACCTCCAACATGCACGCAGGCAGCTGAAAGATGGAAAGCCCCAAACCATAACAGGCCTATACATTATATCGCTTTGGGGTAGCCCATACTACTCAGGGACACCAAACCGTGATGTCTCCGGTGCCAGCTTTGCAGCTGACCATTGCCAGCAGCTGGGCAGAGCAAACACAGCCTTGTCGGTTGATGTATGCAACAGCTGTTGTATTGTCTGATTGCACCACCACATCTTCCTCTCAGCATCGGTGCAAAGTGTTTTACCGCCTTTAGCACTATGGCTAGTTCTAGACAGTTGATGTGGAGAGACGGGATGTGATCCCACTGCCCTCCCACAGACTGTTACAGACTCATGCCTCCCCAGCTGAGCAGAGACGCATCTGTGAACACAGAGACATGTGATGTGGCTCTGCCCAAGGGAATTGCCACCGTCAGTACACTGGGAGTTCCCCAGTACTCCAGGTCTGATTGGACTGAGGGAGGAACCATGAGCACGCGCCCCTTGTGGTGCACCGGGTCAAGACACAGATGGCCAAACCACCTTTGGTGCTTCCTCATATGAAGAAGACCAAGGGGAACTACGACATAACTGGCTGACATCATTCCCAGTAAACACATGACAGATAGAGCTGTTACTCTTGCACGGGGAACAACGCGCTGCAGGAGAGATGAAGCACTTCTTGTCTGGGAAGTGATAGCTTTGCTTTCATGCTGAGAGAGTCTAAGTCCATCCCAGGTAGGTGATTGGCTGGGAGGGTACTGGTGAGCTCTTTGTCCAGTTTATTGCAAAAGCCCAGTTGTGTCAGGTGTTGAACCAGCACCACTGTGTGAAATGCCGCTTGATGTCTGGAGCACGGCATCAGAAACAGACTGTCTAAATAAGAGAGGACTCCGATTTCTGCTCTGCATAGCGGTTCTAATGCTGAAAGCACGGGGGTACCTGCAGAATTGCAGAGTATAGCCAGTTCGAATCAGCTTGTCCATCCAATCGTTCATGGACAGCCGCTCTCTTTCGGTCAGGGGACAGGCTTTCGTACGTGGTGCTCGCGTGGGCTTTGCCGGTATCCACTGGTTCACCCTCTCCGCTGTTACCAGAGATGAGTGTTTGATCACAGTCAAACACATAGGTGCATTGAGATAGATATAACAGAACAAGAAGTACTCATGGGGTCTGAAATGATAAACATGTCTCCAGTCATAGTGATTTGGAATAAAAATCCACTGCTGGCGGAAGAAATTTGTAAATTATGTTGAAAGTGGAACAGAAGAATGTGACACTTGTCAGTATTATGGCCATCATGCTGAAATGATGGGTGAAAAAACAGCCCAGTATGTTAAAAAGTCAGCTGATGAACTGATGTAGGCTGCCAAATTTGAGCAGCTGGAAGATGAAATAGTTGATTTGCTTGACATTTATTTAAAAAGCATTAAAGCTTTCTGGTATAAACCCCAGACATTTAAGTGAGATTCATAATCAGATTGTGAAGTTTCATACAACCTCAAGCAGTGTTTGGAGCTTTAATATGTTTCAAATATGCCACCTTAGTGTGAGAGGTTAAGCTTTATTCCTATGTCCAGGGGTTAGCATATCGTGGCCTTCATACAGCAGTTAGTACAGCAGGGAGAAAGCACTTATAGACAATTTTCTACTTGATTTATCTGAAATTGTGCTAAATGTTAGTTAATGCAGCTTTAAGGAAATAAGAAAACAGAAACATGTTTTTCAAGTGCGTAAATGTGCTAGGTTTTAAATGTGCTGTGGTGTCTTGTTCCTCATAATTGGAGTTGCTGGACTGGAAAGCCTTTCAAGTCAAGTCAAAAGAATGGGAAGGGTTTAAAGAAATGCATTACATTTAGGTGCTAAGGGTTTGCAGGATGCTGAGATAAAGATAGACCATGAGTGTGGTGAGGTGGCAAAAGTGGAGGTGTGCCTCTCTGCTCTATCTGATACTGAGCAGGTGTCCAACCCCAGACCCAGCGCCAGATGCCGAGGTGAGTTATGACCAAGGGGGAGCTAGACCTAAACTCCTCCACTCTGTACTGCAACATCCAATGTCACACCAACGTGAAGGGGTGCATCATTCCCTGGCTGATGTAAGGGAGACGAAAAAGGTGCCTGTGCTTGTGATTCCTGTTGAGTCAGCCAGACCCCATCCACCTCCAGTGCCTGCTGTCATCATCCCCCCACTAATATACGCACAGCCGGGGGGCTGGGATGCCTCAGAGGACAAGAAGGTTTCCTGCAGGCCAAAGAGGAAAGTAGTTCCACTGTGGGAAGTTGGGTCATGTGAAAGACAGATGTCCTGAGTGGTCTCGTGGCAGATTTACCTGGGGTCAACAGGGCAACCTTAAAACAAGGGGGCCTGTTGGACAAGGGCTGGGGTCCCCCTCTTAGGTATTCATCACTGGGACAACAATAAAGACATTGCGAGTCAAGCTGACTTTTTTCAAACTCCATTTACCTGCAGTTTCAGATCAAGGACAAAAGACTGCTGAGCTGCAACCGCTGATGTCTGGAATGTGACATTGTGAATTCTGGCTGTAGACGCTGCACATAGCCAAATGACTGTGGGATAAAGGAAAAAGAAAGAGAAAAGCCAAGGCAATGGTGTATTGGTCTGGATGTGGATCAGACCCTTATAAATTTAGTTAAAATGTGAATGAACTTCATTAATGTTGTTTGTCAAATTCAGTGCACTCTTTAATATTTTAAGTACGTTGAGGAAGTTTCAGAATCAGAATCAGAATCAGTGTACTGTGTGTGCACTGGACTATGAAAAGTGTCACATGTGTGACATTCATACTTCATACAATTCATGCATAGCCGTTATTTAGTACCTTGTACTGTATTTACTCCTTTGCAGGAGGGGAGATTCTGTTCTTCTGTTCCCTATCTTTCAGATTGCTGGATTGTCTTACAACTTTTTTAACTGTTCAGTATTATTGTAATATTAAATAATTATTTGAATTGGGATAATTTGCCTGAATTTATTTAGTTCATATCAAATCCTAACTACCACAGTACAAATGGGATCAGGTCAGAAAGTTTCACTTTACAGCTTGGTATCAGACAAGGATGCCCACTCTCACCATCTCTATTCACCTTTTTCGATCCTCTAGCAGCAGCTATATGAAAGAATGCAGGGTTATTCAAAAAGAATGAACCATTGTAATGAAATCGGTTCATTCTTTTTTGAATAATTCTATATTATTAAAGGAATACAAGATACATACTCAGAATATAAAATTAGTCTTTATGCTGATGATTTATTATTATATTTACAGGATCCCTATAATTCTCTGCAGGAACCTTTACACATTATTTACACATTTCCTAAGAAGTCAAACTACACAATAAATAAATCCACCATATTGCCACTCTCTGAGGATCCATGGGATTCTGCAGCTCAAGACTCCTCCCTCCAATTCTGCACAGGCAACATTGAATATCTTGGTATTAATATCTCCCCCAGGCTGTGAGACCTTTTTAACCTCAACTACACTCCTCTGCTAAAAAGGTAGAAGATGATTTAAAATGCTGGTCCAATCTTCCTCTCTTAGTCATCAGCTGAATAGCTACTGTCAAAATGAAAACTCCTCAAATTAACTACCTGTTTACAATGCTTCCCACAACACCCACAGATAAATGGTTTAAATCACTTGTTTCTATAACTTTTTTAGATTCAACTGGTTCTTTTATCTGAAGGCCCCAAGAAGTAACATTACGTAGATTTATTTTCTTCTGGTTAAATGCAGAGTGTGTGTGTGTGTTGTTATTTTCAGGTGTTTCTTTCTAACTGAAAGTAGACATGCAGTTAGCATCTTATCTATAGTTTCCAGGATGACACTTATCTCTGCAATCAATTTATGCACATTTCACCAAGAAGACAAGAAATACTACTACTTGACTCAAAGCTGAATATTATGACTATGATGCGTGCATAAGAGCTAGGTTAATACTGATATATGGAGCTGCTAATGAAACACAGACAAATAGTCATACTGAACTTTTCCATTATAAAAGCAAAATAATACTGATGATAAGTAGAAAAATAACTTTAACTCCTGAAATCCAATCCTAACAACTTCACAATTTTATTGGAAAAACAAGAAACCCCAAATCTCCTTATCTACACATAAAAAGAAGAAATCACTAGGTGATCACTAGGTGGCCTAGAAGCACGAAATTTCCAATATTACTACTTGGCAAATCAGCTACAATATTTAGTCAATTTGATTTGGAAGGACAGCTACAACAGCACATGGATAGATTTAGAGCAAAATTATTGTAAAAATAACTCAATTAACTCAGTTGCAGACCTTTCCTTCCTACCAAACTCTATTAAGAAAATGAATTACTGTACAAATATCATAATTTTCTCAACTCTGACAGCCTGGTGGAAAGCAAACAAAATCACTAAATCATCACTTGCACCAAGTAGATACACTCCAATTTGGCACAACCCTGGTTATCAACTACATAATAACCCTATCTATTTCCCAACATGGCAGCACAAAGGAATCACTAACTTACATCACCAATTTGAAAATAACCAGTTCATATCATTTAATACACTGATCCAGAACTACAGAGACAACAGTTCCCCCAGTAAAATCAGCTAAAATCCATAATTAAGTCAAAGATTAGTGTAACCAATAACCGCTACAACCCTCCAAATTAATTTAAGAGATTTTGAAAACTGCAGATTCCAAGAAAATAATATCCAAGCTATATAAACTCATATCAAATACAGATTCAACAATAACGATACCAAACCTCAAATGAGAAAATGATTTAACTCTCTCCTTCAGCTCTGACTTCTGGACAGAAATTTGCAATGACATCTTTTCTATGACAACATAAACTTACAACTTATACAATACAAAACCATTTACAGGACCCATATTAGACAAAGCAAAAGGTTCAAAATGGGATTCACTGACATAGACATCTGCTCACAATGCACTCTAGATTGCACCAACAATTATTTTCGTGCTACTTGGACCTGCCAACCAGTTCATTCCCTCTGGATGGCAGTGACAGAGAAAATCTCCACCATCTTGGGCTGTAGAATGCCTCCTTCTCCATAACTTTCCTTGCTCGGTATTATCACAGAAATCGACCACCTACCAGTTAAATACAAAAACCCACTCCTCATTTCTCTAGCTATTGCCAAGAAGACAATCTTTCAAAACTGGAAATCAAATTTTTTAACACATTTCAACTTGAACCAAACACCTGCGGCCGAGGCCATGCACATTCCCACCAACAAGCTGCTTTATTAGTAGTACTGTTATCATCATTATTATTGTTAAATTTTTCTTTTTTCTCTTTCCTTATCCCTTTCTTGCATTTCATAGACTGCATAAGTTGGAAATAACCACACTTCACACACTACAATCTAGTAAAACACTCTTTTTGTAATGTCATGTATCTGTTGCCTTGTCTCCCATGTTCGGTCCTGTTTTGTTACTTTGTTTCAATAAAAAAAAAACATGCAACAAAGTGACATGAAACTTAGAACTGATCATTTTGTGAGTTTTATTTAACCTACCTGATATCTCAAAGGATCTCATGTTATTTTCAGCATTTATATGAGCCATAATAAATTTATCATGACATATGGCACAAATACAACTTGTAGTTAAATTAGACTTAATTTCATTTCCTTTCATTTCATTTCATTAGACATTATTTCATTCACATATTCATTTCATAAGACTATTAGAAAAATACATTTAAATAAATATTGTTAAAGAAAATATTTCTTTTGATTGGGTCTGATCTTATGTTATTATTTTATTAGTCTTATGCTATTATACTGGTGACAGTAAGAAAACCAGTTTAAATATTGCACATTCATAGCATAGCAAATGGCAAACACAGAAAGAAACTTCTCCAAATATTACAAGTTGTGTAACTGGAGGACAGGGTATGGCTGAATTGCCACATGTAATAAAGAACATTGGAAACAGACAGAATAGTGTCAGTATATGTCATACTATAAATGAGCACAACGTTAATAAATAGAAGATAAGAGTAACATTTCTCTTTTTGGTCTAGACTTGGTGCTTTTCACACCAGTGACTCAGCCAACACATAAAACCTCATTTGACCTTTCACAAAAAAAGGTCACAAGTCTCTTCTCAGTCTCTCCACAGTTTCTCTCTACAGTACATTGGCCTCACAGGAGTTAGGCTGCAGTATCTCAAGTGTAACAATGAGTTTAACTGATTTTCTAAACCAGGGGTAGAAAAAGGCGTAGATCACAGGGTTTAGACAGGAGTTAAGGTATGTTATAAAAAACACAAAATCCTTACTTGAAGAACCCATCATGTCATAGCCAGAGAGAGTGAGACAATAAGCTGGAGAGTAACACATGAGAAACACAGCAACAAGGACACCAAGAGTCCTGGCTGCTTTCATCTCTGATTTCTTAACAGTTACAGTCACTGAACACTGCAGTGTGACAGCTGCAATGTGGGAACGCATAGCACGGGCCTGAGACACAGCCACCACAAACACTCTCATATACAGAATGATGATGGCAGTGATGGGAAGGATAAAGCCAAACGTTAAGTCAACAACTGCGTTATAGTTAATCACACATTCTCCATAGCAGGAGTTATACCTGCCTGGTTGTTCCAGGTTATCATAAAAAAGCAGAAAGCTGTAGAAAACAGCATAAATCCAACACATGAGAACAAAGACTTGAACTTTCTTTTGAGTGATTTTGGTGGGGTAGTGCAGAGGGTCACAAATAGCCACATAACGGTCGACTGATATGAGAACCACATTTACTACTGAGGCATTGACAGTGATACAGGCTAAGACATAAAACAGAACACACACCAGGTCACCCAGGAACCAGCAGGGTTCTGTTAAGAAGATATGAAAAGGTATCACAGGGAGGCCAACGAGGAAGTCAGCAACAGCCAGAGAGAGGACGAGGAGGTTGGTGGGAGTGTGGAGCTGCCTGCAGTGAGAGAATATCATCACTTTAATATTGCTGCAATGTAATATTCAAAGACAATTCAAACTAAAGGTCACTGACTGAATCTCACTACATCAATAAATTATCAAAGACATTTATCTCTGCCTGAAGTGGGAGATGGAGATGATGACCAGCAAATTGAGAGATGCAGTCAGCAGAGAGATGGAGGAAAACACAATATAAATGACCATTGTCTCAGAGTAAGGATGTGTGTGCTTTTTGCAAGATGTGTTGAATTGTGGAAAGCAGAGTTCAGCTTCAGCCATCATCAGAGAGATAAGATGAGCGAGGAAGCTGGTGAACACTCAGCTTTCTGAGCAAAGTTCTATCATACAGCTGATTTATCTCTCTCATCATTCCCCCTCTTCCCCCCTCTACTTTTAATCTCTGTGGGAACATGAAAAGGCTGCTATGAAAAAAATCTATGGAATTATCCACAGACATGCCACAACACTTCACCCCTAGAAACTTGTCACACCATGGCAGATGATGAAACAGTCTTATATATGGATGCCAACTCGCTCTCCCCATATGTTATGTGTACCAGACACAGTTTTTACCTCGTAGGACACCCTGAAATCATTCACAATGAATTTGAAAACTACCAGAAATACATTTGTAGCCTGGTAAAATTGAACCAACGCAGGACACAACAATGTCTTTTGGATGTTTTATTCTGAATGTAAATAATTGGGGTTTTCTCCAAAAAATATAAAATGAACAAAACTATAAATTAAACAACAGCGTCAACCCTGTCCCTCTCTCATTTGGTGTGGGGCGTTCACAACTGCGCCCTTGCCTTGGAGTACAACAAAAAAATACTCTTCCGTTGAAGTAAGCAATACAGAAAATACAGAAATAACTGTGATGGCTCACCTAACAAACAAAGAGCACATACATTCAACATCAGAAATGTAACATTTCTCCTGCTAGCCTAAAACATAATAATGGATGCAGAGTTAAAATATAACCTAACTGTACAGAAAATCCGTCTGCAGTAATCAATTCATGACACACTCCGTAAATCCCACGGGTCACACGCTGGGACTAAGATCTGTAAACATCTAACATATTCATCGATATAAACAAATGAAACTTACAGAATTACGTATACACAACACTCTTAGGCGACTGTCAACTTAGATTCGGTTATTAGAAACTCGCGGTGTACAAGATTTACCTTAAACAACTGGTACAGATCTTCCGCTGAAATACCGCTTTGGTCAGATGAACACACATGGCTTTTTAGTTTCCCAGAATCCACTGGATCGATACCCAGTATCCTCTTCGTTCCCAGGGTTACTTCTCTAAAAGCGGTAGCACCCCTTTTTCCATACATAAGTCTAACAGGTGCATATCCACCCGGCTACATTCTCCCCTACTAAGAAGTCAACGTCCTCGGTGTCTTAATTTAAACAGTTTGCTTCATCCACAGCTGCCCTAAAGAACATGACACCCATGTTAGTCAACAACTGAGACAACATGTCGGGGGTCAAGGAAAAAGCATTACACACTGATTTAGGGACATGGTGGGGGTTTGAATGCACTCCTGCATTCACTCTTTTACTCTGTTGAGGCGTTGGAATTGGAACAGTAACTTTATCATCACCTGTAGACCTGCTGTGTGGCACTGGAGCAGTTGACTCCGATACAGTTGTATTCTTAGTGACCAAAATTTCAGCATGACCAGCCTCACTAAAACACCCATGATCTGAATCCTGCTGGATCTGATCAGGGACCTCATCTCTCTCTCTCGGCCCCATCGGGCTCAAGTTTGTGAATGTGGTTT